TTGAAAACATACATAGATTCCCAGCCTTTTATTATGGCAAAATAATATTAATAGCTTAATTACATTTTTGGTTTTAATCTTTAGATAAATTATCATAATAAAAAAAGGTTAATCCTTTTTCTTCACCATTTTCAATTGTTGTAAATGTTTAAATTTTTCTTTAGGTTCTGAGCGGATCGAGGAAAGTAGTGGTTTTACGATAGTGTTTATTTTTTTTCCTATCCTGTATACTAAATTTCTACCAGAAAGATTGCTTTGATTTCAACATATAGTACCTTATCTTAACTTTATCTTAACAAAAAATGTGGTAAAATTATCTGTTAATGTACTTAATATATTGAATATAATATTTTATCATAAGTAAAGGAGTTAAGACAATTTCTCTTTATTAATACCTTGTAGGAGTTAAGCTAATTTCGTTTACTTCTTAACAGCTGTTTCATGGAATAAATAATTATCGGATTGAAATGAAAATGGTTTTAAACTTATACAAAAACAATAAAAAACCAATATAATTTTGATTTTCTACTGTATTAAAGAAATGCGGAAAGTAACCTTTTTTCAGTTCTTTGAGGCGAAACGTTTTGGGAAAACTACTGAGAGGACCTTGAATAAAATTAGAACTATCTATTATTCTTCTACCTAAATAATTAATTTCTAATAACATTAATTTTGTACCATTATAAATTGTAAATGGTTTCAGAGTGTTATCAATCAAGTATTTTAATATAAATTGTGAATCGTATCCTTTCTAGTGCAAGTTCCACATTCTTAATATCATTCAATAAAAATCCTTCTTCATTATATTCTGTTAACATACTACATAATTATAAAACTAAATCTTTTTGAATTTTTCTACCCATCTTCAATTGTTTAATTTTATTGGAATCTAATTCATGACCTAAAATATAATTTGTTTGAGTAGATAATGCTACAACAATAGCTCTCGGACAACATAAATTATCATCGTTATTAATCTGAATAATACTACTTTTTGTTTTTATATTTTCTGATAAATTTATTATTTTAGTTCTCCTTGAACCTCTTGGTATTTTAACTAATTGAACTTGAAATGTAGTTTCAGTTATATCAATTGTTTCAGCTGATGTTAATAATTACCAATAATTGATTTTAAATTTGTTAAAAAATTATTAGATTTCATACTAGTAGATATAGTATTTTTTAAATTTGGATTCATCACTATAATATTTATTTGATCACCTTTTTCATAACTTGAATTTTTTTGGACAAGTTTTAACATGGCATCTAGAGCTTTATGTACATAATCAATTTTGTATGTGCATTACAGAGTTTTAGATCTTTTATTAAAGCTTCTCTAAACCCAATTTTATATTCAGCTTCATGTATTTTAAATTTCTTTTGGAATTGTTTATTCAATTGAATTACATCTATCAAATCATAAACATTTTTTTCTAATGAACTATTAAAAACTTCATCCTTGGAGAGATAATCTTGAAATTTACGAAAAGGTTGTTGCTTTTTAATATTTTTTATTAAGCATTCTTTCTTAGGTTGTAAATTTATTTTATATCAAAACTTCTAGCTATTGACTCAAGCTCAGAAATTTTTAATTCGCAAATTGTATGACCTCTCCTAATTCTTAATATAAGATTTAATTTTACATTTAATAATAAATGTACTGTCTACAATTTAAACTAAAAAGTGATTTCAATTTGCATTATAGTTACCTGATTTTGTGGGTTTAATTTTGGCATTATTATTATTTTATTTAATCATTATTTCCTAAAATTTTGTTTACCATTGACTTACAAACATAACTTTAAAAGCAATGCACTGAACAAATTTAATAAATTGTTTTATACATGATTACATTTAACATAAATATGTTTAAAAAACAAAAAATCTATTTATATACATAACTATGAATTTAACTATCATAATATTAATTTATGAAATTATTTTTAGAGCTAAATGTGAATGTAAAGAAGAAATGAACTCAACTGATACTAAAATAAAAATCGAAAAAAATTATTTGAACGACGGTTTTGTTTTTGAAGGATCAATTAGAAATGAATCAAACTTAAAGAAAACATTTATTGATGATAAAGCTAATAATGATAATGATCAATTTATACAAATGAGGTAAGAACTGTATTTGCTTCATAGAAAAATATGAAATTAAATGATACTAACCAACTGATAAATAACTATAGTTGACAATTAGTTTGACAGCAAAATATAATAGAAATAGAAACCTTCCAATGGTAAAATCTTACTATTACTTCCAAAAGAAGTTATTAATTACTTAGGTTCATTTTTGGTTAGAATATTGTTTAATGGCACTATTGTTTATTTGTACGTCAAACTGTGATGTCTAGTAGTGAACAATTTGTAAAAATTAATTTAATATGAAACATATTTTTTTTTATTAGCTTCTAGTTTAAACTATGATAGCTCAATAATTACAAAATAAAACATATTTACTGCATAGTAACTGCAAATTATAGAAAATAAATTATTTATCCGGTTAGAAGTTACTTTTTTTAAAAAATATTGAGTTAATAATTTATTTATTTATTTGCAAATAAAACAATGTTATATAATTATATAAGTCAGCCTACTTCGCAAATCACTTAACTCGATATTGAAAAGTTTTCAGGACAAAGGTCATTAATTTAAAAGAAAACATTTAAAACTTAAAATAATTCTCTAAACTAACTATTGGCCTTTGTTGTCGATGTAATTTTTATCAATAAAAAAAAAAAAAAATCTCTAAATTATTTATAATATTTCTTTGTTTATCTCTTTGATCATTTTAAAAGTTTACTTAAATTAAACATGTATAAGACGAGTTAAGACAAATTCTTCTTCAAAATCAAAGTTATTATTTTACATTTTTAATTGTATGACCTCTCCTAATTGGGATAGAGGTAAAGTGTACTTCACAAGTATAAATATACAAATTTAATGTGAAATTAAAAACTTAATAAAAGAAAGAAATATAAATAGAAGGTGTATACAGAATTTACGTTTTACAAGATTATCAGCTCATAAAAATAATTTAACATAACTAGAATATTATATTAATTTTATTGAGCTTTCTTAAATCTGTAATGATTGTTATGTTGGTTAATATTAATATTTAGAGATTACATATCTCAACTGCCATATTACTACAACTTTACTGCCCAAAAGAACACAATTTTTTTTTATTACATCAATTTTTTTTTTTTAGTTTGTATTATTTATATACCCACAACTATGAATATTATTCTAATTTTTGTATATTTTATATATTTTGAGTTTATCCAAATTAACACATTAATTTTACAATTTTATTAAATCAATAAGTTAGATACTTACTATAATAAAGATTTGGCAGCCTTTGTATAAATATAACAATTTAGTTCATAGTTGTTCTTTTAACTTGGTGAGATGGGGAATTGAAATGCCCTCTCCATATTTCAATAAAAAAAATAATAACTGATTGTATAATGGAGAGATATATTACTCGTAGGTTTTGTATGTCAAAATAATCTCTAATGGTTCTAAATATAAAAATATTTCTTATAATTGTTATCACATAATCTATATGTATTTTCCATTTTAATTGACCGCAAATGTGTAAACCTAAAGGTAAAGTTTTAGAAAATTATTGTTAAGAGGATGCCACACCCGCATGTGTTGTACCCGTCCTACAAAAGCGCAACATATCAAATTTACTCTCAGAAATTCACGTTTTATAGCCTTAGCTTATAAAGCAGAGTGAATTGACCTATTATGAAACTGGATGATAAGAACATTATCTGTGATTTATTGAACATTTTTTTACGATAATTCAGTTTTTGAGTGAGTTATGTGTGTATAATAAATGTAAATTAAAAATGCTCATAACATAACAAATTTTTTTACCATCAAGTTTCATAATAGGTCGATTAACTCTAATCTTTAAGGTAACTAGAATTTCTGAGTATAAATGTGTGTCTTCCTGTTATACGGTAGTTTTACAATTTTAAAAACCAGGTTAGCTCTATTGTACAAACATTCAATATTTTTCTGTTTTTATAATATGACATTATCATCAGTAAAAGAAAAAAATTGGCATCAACATTTAGATTCAGTAAGGCGTTCATAAGGATAATAAATAATGTCCAAAGACTGTACCTTGAGGTTTGGCATGACTTATATTTAAGGGGCTGACTTTACTTATAATTTATTTTCACTTTTTGTGAATTATCTGTTAAACAATTTCTAAATAATTTGTTTGCTGTTTTGCAAGTCTCGGCATAACTTAGATTATTATACTCTGTTCAGGTTAAGTGTGCCCAAAATCGCGCAGTCATTGATATCTAGTAATTTATATCTCCTGATAATATATATTTACCTATTGGTAAATCCAACCAACATTCTTATTTGACACAATGGTACAAAAAGGTTCGCCATCCCTAATATAGTATGTAGTGCTGATATTATAAAGATATTCTAAGTGGGCGATCAAAACAGGAATAAAGTTATATGCACTGCGATTTGGTAACATGCATATCCCTAAAACGGTTTTAAAAACATTGTTTATTTCCCTTGCTATTTCAATCAAGAATTGCAATTAGCTATTATTGTATTTGTAAGTTTTCTAATTGTATAACTATTTTTAATATACATTGTCATTCCATCACTTTTCTTCAATTTTTCCAAAGAATTTATAGTACAATATCCATTTAGGTACTGGTTTGTTATAGCCCTCAATTTACCTCCCAGCCGTTCATAGTAATAAATACATTGTATCAGTATAAAATAATGAGTTTATTTTATAATTTACTAAACAATGTCAATGAACAATTAATTTTTTACTAAAATTAAAATGATTGCTTAAATTTAAAAAGGAAATACACAGCTTTCAATGCCAACAAAACCTTATATTTCTTTTTGTTTTTTATATTTGATATAGGTATTACAAGTTTTATTTTATTAATTTATAATTAAAAAATTGTTTTTTTGGGGTGTATAGAAACAACGTAAAAATGCCACGAATTTATCAACCAGATCCTCGAAGCAAAAAGTGTAAGAAACCAAATCCTAATGATCTCAAAAATGCTATTATGGCAATTAAAAGTAAACAGGTAACATACCGGGAAGCTCAGGAAATATATGGCATACATTATTCTGTACTCTACCGTCATGTTAAAAATTCTAGTTTAAAAAAACAAGGGGGCCAAACGGCTTTATCAGTGTCTGAAGAAAACATTATAATTGATCGTATACTTCTATGTGCAGAATGGGGATTTCCTCTTGATCAATATGATCTAAGATTTTTAGTCAAAGGGTACTTAGATCGCCGAGGAAAAAAAGTAAAACGATTTGGCCATAATAACATGCCTGGTAAAGAATGGGCCATTAGTTTTGTGACTAGGCATAAAGATGTTTTATCTTTACGTTTGTGCCAAAATATAAAGCTTTGTCGAGCAGCTATTTCAAGAGAAACTATTAACAATTATTTTGATAACCTATCTATTTCATTAGAGGGAGTTTCACCTGAATATATAATTAACTAAATTTTAATATTAATTGTAAAAATTTGAATTTCAAACGCTCATAATAATTTAATTTGACTTTTTTATAGACATTTTTTTTTTTTTGATAAAGGTAGACAATCTTTTAAGGAATCTTCTATTACATTTTCAAATCTTAGATTTCAAAATAAAAATTTTTACGAATTCTTAACTCAAAATAATTTGCTAATTTTCGTGATTTTTCAATATTTTGTCAATTTTTGAACTAAAGTTTTTTAAAATTTTAAATGCTTATAAAAAAAAATTGTGACTAAGGTTTTTTTAATATTTTTCATCTGCCTTTGAAACAATATACTAGGAGTCTTCTATTAAATTTTCAAGCTTTCGCATATAACAAATACAATTTTATTGAAAATTTATTGAAAAAAAAACTAAAAAAAATTGAAGGCGGTAAATGTCCGTAAATAGCTCAAAAAGAGTCAAAATATTTTCAAAATTGTATGGTGTATAGAAAATGCTAATTCAAACATTCAGTGAAATTTTCATGTATCTACAGTTATTCGTTTTTGAATTACAACAAAATAAGGAAATCGCTACATGAGAAATCGAGTGAATATCCAATGTTGTAAAAATTTGAATTTCAAACGCTCATAACAATTTAATTTGACGTTTTTATAGACATTTTTTTTTTTGATAAAGGTAGACAATCTTTTAAGGAATCTTGTATTACATTTTCAAATCTTAGATTTAAAAATTAAAATTTTTACGAATTCTTAACTCAAAATAATTTGCTAATTTTCGTGATTTTTAAATATTTTGCAATTTTTGAACTTTAAATGCTTATGAAAAAAAACTGTGACTAACGATTTTTAATATTTTTCATCTGCCTTTGAAACAATATACTAGGAGTCGTCTATTAAATTTTCAAGCTTTCGCATACACAAATACAATTTTATTGATATTTTTAGAAAAAAACTAAAAAAAAATGGAAAATGAAAATGTCCCTAAATAGTTCAAAATACATCAAAATGTTTTGAAAATGTTATCATGTATATAAAATGCAAATATAAACAACCCGTGAAAATTTTATGTATATACGTTCATTTCTTTTGAGTTACAAAAAAACCAAAATCGATTTTTTGGAAAACCGTTTTTGCCTAAAAATTCCCGTTTTTCGTTAATTTTTATGTTGTTTTTCCCGGCGCTTGTGAAAACTACTAGGGAATTTTTACTTTTGACCCCCAAAGTACCAACTAGATTCACTTTTCTATTAGAAAAGCTACTACACTATAACATTGATTAAAAAAATTAACTGAAATATTATTTGGTCTTGATCTAGTCATATATTCATAAAAATGATTTTGTTCATCTAAAGGAATATCATCAAAAACAACTAAGCTATCACGTTCACATTCATCTACAGATATTATATCTGTATCAGATATATAAAAATAAATCTCAGGTATACCTTCAAATATTTCTATAAGGTGATTATAAACTGGTTGGTCGATATTTTTTGGATATTTAATGGTACGACCACAAATGAAATAAAACTACTGTTAATAAAAACCTAGGTTTAAGCGAAACAGAAATTGAAAACATGAATTAAAAAAAAAACACGGAACTCTAGTCACACTTTCAAAACTTTTTATTCAACAAAAATATGAATGCTGTTTGAAAGTGTGGCTATTTAGAAGTAACCTGAAGACAATATCTGGGCAATAGGCCGCAGTGTCACAGTGTCATCAAATGTTTCACAAAGTCCCGGGGAATAGCTTTAAAATGTAAAAACAAATTTAATAATATATAACAGTGAATTAACAAAAATAAAAATATTAACGAAATAGCTCACCTTAGAACAGACAATCAATGGTTATTATATCTGATTAAAAAATACAATTATAATGATAAACTTAAGTATCATAATATTTTCAGAACCATAGAAAATACAAAACAATTTCGAGTAGAAAATAAAATAAAAAACTTAGCGTTGCCTAAATTATGTTCAGGCTTATAAAATAAAATATGGGATATCGTTTACAATATGATCAACCGTATATACTTATAATTTATGAGTAGTATAGGGGGAACTTCAGCACACATGTCATTTAAATGCAATAATTACTAAAATACTTTTCATAGAAATTGAAATGCAATATTTCATAAAACCTTTTGCATATTCATGGAAACGCAATAATTATAAATATAAAAATATTTGTCAAAAAATGAAATACAAAATCCCCCAAAAAGTTTTCAAAAATCGAAACGCATAAAAAATTAAAAATATTTTTGAATAGAATTGTTCTATTAAAAATAACATATTTCATTGCAAAATGTATTAAAGTAGAAATTGAATAAATTAATTTAAAAATTAAAAATACAATAAATACTAAAAGAATGGAAAATATAAAAGAATTTAGTAAGTTACAAGAAATTGAAATGCAAAACGAAATAGAAAACCCTATATTAAACAATGAAATATTTGTTTAGTTTTGTAAATATGAATACTATGAAAATTATAATACTAAAATAATAAATATAATCTAAATAAAGTTCCAATCAAAGGAAATATTTTAATTGCCGATGGACACAATATTTCTGGATAAGGGATGCCTTATGCTTGTAAAATACTAGAATCACCAACATGACTTGAAATTTGTAAAATAGCTAATGATCAACTTTTTACAACATGTAAATTTTCATTCAAATATCTCCATGATATTCGTGTTATTCAAACTTTAAGAGATATCAAAATATGTACCCTTGATAAGGGATGCTTAAAAATTAATTTAATTTTTTAAAAGAATCGTTCTATTAATAAAATGATCTATATTTAACGCGCACCCGAATGGGGCACGCGTCATTAAAATCCAAAAATCATTAAAAACGATTTTACACTAAGATAATATGAGGAGGACTTATAAAGAATTAAAATCAAAAATGTTTAATGTAAAAATGAAGATTCTAACATAAATAGCAACGGAGTTATACTTAAATTAAAAATATGAAGTGGGTGGTAAACTTTTAATGTGTAGTGAAGCCTATAAAACATATCTGTGTTGTTCTGACTTGATAATATCAAATATTAAATGAAATATAGGAATTATACGAGGGAAACAATGGAAAAAAAACGCAAAAAATCTACAAAATCATTCCCAGCATTGCAGATACCCGTTTAAGGATACCCCTTAAAAAGGAGGCCGGAACTCTTTTACAGATATCTGCAAAGCTATCGGGGGACAGTGAAGTTACCGCGAAGTACTATGATTATTTAAAGAATTCCATAAATTTTTATACACAAGGTTTTTTTAAAAATGTTAATGGTGTTATGACGAGTCAAAGTAATAAAATTAAAACTATGATAAAAGGAAACTATTCAATTGATCAATTAAGTAGTAAATTCCCATCAGATATTAAATTACAAAAGTTCTTATATATTGTTTATTTGCTGAACTAGGTATAACATTGATTTCAAAAAATATCTGAAATATTTTTTGGTCTTGATCTATTCATATATTCATAAATAGGATTTTGTTCATCTAAAGGAATATCATCAAAAACAACTAAGCTATCACGTTCACATTCATCTACAGATATTATATCTGTATCAGATATATAAAAATAAATCTCAGGTATACCTTCAAATATTTCTATTAGGTCATTGTAAACTGGTTGGTCGATATTTTTTGTAAAAATATATAAATTTTCATAATTAGTCCAATGATTTAGAACTATATTCCTCAACACTACTGTTTTACCAAAACCTGGTGGACCAGTTATTTGAAGTCACTTACGTAAATGAAATAAAGATTTGATTTTATTTTTTATTTTATATGGTTTTATTGTAATGAGATACATTTTATAATACATTTTTTTATATTTTTGCTATTATAAATAATGTATAATATTTTTAAAAAGTATGATGAATATATTGAAAGTGCTCAATATGAAACTTTTATAGGTACCTACGAATAACGCCCAACTTTATACACCTAATAAAGATACAGTTCTTAAAATAAATAACCAAGATAATTTTCTTTATATTAGAAAATAATTGATCAATTGAATAGTAAATTACCATCATATATTCAATTACAAAATGATAATAATTGTATTACATTTACTTCAAAAACTGATTTTTTGATGGACCAAAATGTTAAAACAAGTTTAGTTATTGATAAAATGTAAATTTTATATAAACACATTGGAGAAGTCTTAAATATTAATAATAATATAAATAAACTATTATTAGAAGTACATTGCAATATAATTAAAAAATTTTTTTTTCATCTGTTAAGGATAGTAATCACATCGAGGAAGATATTTTGTACAATTTTTATTATGATTATGATAATCCATATATAAAAAAGGTGGGTAAGTGGATGTCGCTCTGCTGTACAGTAGGTTACAAGTGGGTCACTGTATAATGGATGGTATTAAATTTGAATTCAATAATACAATATCATTGTATAAGAAAAATGATTCTGAGCGAAGACGGTATGTCAGTCTAGGTTGAAGACATTATACATCTATGGTATATATATCTATGGTATTAAATTATATGGAATTTATGAATAAATTCCTTAAAATATGCACAGTCTTATCATGAGCATCCTTCTTATTCCTTATGCTATGGTAGATTGTATGGATAGGCCATAATATTTTGATTTTTCAGTTTCATATATCCCCGAATAATATTTTTAAATTGGAACAAAAACAAAGATCGTTAATATTGATTTTAATATGTAATTTCATCCAAATTTGAATTTAAAATGTCTGTAAAAAATAACTGTGTTCATATATTTTTTAGATTTTTTGGTTACAGTATGAACTATTTATGAGAACCTTTGTTTTAAATTTGCAATCCTTAGCTATAAAAACTGAACATTTTATAATTTATTAATTACAATGGTTGATAATTTTCGAGAATTTGATACATTTTGTCAAAATTCGATGTTGAAATGCTTATAAAAAAAAATTGTGCATATGTATTTTTAATATTTTTGAACTGATATTGTAACAATATATCAGGAGACTTGTATTAAATTTTTACACTTTTTGGCACAACAGATAAAACTTTATTGATATTTATAGAAAAAAAAAACTAAAAAAATTGAAAACTGAAAATGTCCGTAAACAGCTGAAAAAGAGTCGAAATATTTTCAAAATTGTACAGTGTATAAGAAATGCTAATCTGAACATTCAGTGAAATTTTCATGTATCTACAGTTATTCGTTTTTGAATTACAACAAAATAAGGAAATCGCTACATGTGAATATCCAATGTTGTAAAAATTTGTATTTCAAACGCTCATAAAAAATTAATTTGACTTTCAGGTAGAGATTTTTTGAATGATAAAGGTAGACAAACTTATGAGTAATCTTGTATTAGATTTCCAAATCTTAGATTTAAAAAGAAAAATTTTTACGAATTCTTAACTCAAAATAATTTGCTAATTTTCGTGATTTTTCCATATTTTGTCAAGTTTTGAACTTTTAATGCTTATAAAATAAAACTGTGACTAACGATTTTTAATATTTTTCATCTGCCTTTGAAACAATATACTAGGAGCCTTCTATAAAATTTTTAAGTTTTTTTAACCAACAAATAAAATTTTATTGATATTTCTAGAAAAAAAACTAAAAAAAAATTAAAAATGAAAATGTCCCTAAACAATTCAAAATAAATCAAAATATTTTGAAATTGTTATAGTGTATAGAAAATGCAAATATAAACAACCACTGAAAATTTCATGTGTCTACGGTCATTTGTTTTAATGTTACACCAAAAACCAAAATCGATTTTCTCGAAAACAAATTTTGCGTAAAAATTCCCGTTTTTCCTTAATTTTTCTTTTGTTTTTCCCGGCGCTTTTGAAAACTACTGAGAAATTTAAATTTTGACCTCCCCAATGCACCAACGATATTCACTTTCCAATCGAACAAGATACTGAAGTTGAAAATCGAAGCATCATTTCGACTACTTATCGTGTACACAGACACAAAAAAATAAATAAATAAACACACATCATTGTAAAATCAATACATTCATCGTTTCACTCAGAATCTAAAATAATTCAATTATGTACATACCAGTTAAAGGACATTTTCAAAAAATAAAAATAGATAATATAGAACAAAATGGTAATAAATATGTTTTTGATGATGGTGATTTTATTGTTTATCTTGATTTAATTAAAGAATATTAAATATTAAATTATTTTTTCAATAGAAATATTCTATTGAAAATAATAGTCACTAGGATATAAAGGTATGCTACATCTTTATATTTATATTTTTATATTAATTACCATTAATATTATTTTTTAACCACTAAAAATATCTTCAATAGTTCCTTTTTCAATATCAAACAAAAATTCATCTTCTCTTAGGAAAAAATTGTAGCAAATTGTATCTTTAGGTAAATCTTCATGTAACTCAATATGTAAAATAATATTTTTTTTTATTTGCAGAAATATTTATTTGTTGATAAACTGTTTTAGTTAGAAATATTGATCTATATTCCTTAAAATCAATTGGATCATTATACATCAATGGGTGTTCTTGATTATTTTTATGATAAGTTAATTTATAAGCCATTGAATCATCATAAGATTGGCAAAATTTAATATTCTTAAAATCTTCATCTGACGTTCTGTAGGATAACTTTTTCCATTTATTTCAAACCTATAGTTTCTAAGACAACAATGATCAAATTCACCAGGGTCATGATCTTGAGTATTTAATTTATTTGTTTGAAATACAAAACCACAAAACACAGGAGGATTTTCACTTCGATATTGAGATGTTAAATCAATTTTTATAGTTTTTCCTTTTATATTTCTTTCCTCAATACTTTGTAAGGCTTTAAAATTAATAGTATACCTTTTTTCTTGAGAAATTTTAGTTAAATCATTTATAAATAAAACTTTTTGTAAAGGATTGTATTCTATAAATGGAATTCTAATTGTAAATTCATCAATAATAATTTTACCATCTTCCAATCCTACAACAATTTTTCTAACCTCATTACCATTTTCCTTAAAAATCTCTCTTTTTAATAATGCATCATCATCTGTATTTCTAGTAAAACATAATTCCATATCACAATTGAAAAGAGGATATTTATGGTCTTTGAAAAGTGGCCAACCAAATTCTGATAAGTAACCCATAACATTAAACGTACCTCCACCTTTATAATTGCTTGCAAAGCCTGAGTTTATAGTTATCCCTTTTAAATCCAGAGAGTTGCTTAACACACCTGTATACAGTGTTGAGCATTATCTAGATAAATTATCTAAATAAATTATCTAGATAAATAATTAATTATCTTTTATCTTATCTAGATAATAAATTAATTGATTATCTGATGAATTATCTTAGATGAATAATTGTGTTATCTAACCCAATTTATCTAGATAAATAAATTATGGGTACATATTTTTTTTATTTTTTTTTTGAACCACAAAAACTAAGGTATGGTATATTTTTATTTTGAAAAATAAACCATTGAATTTAAAATAACAATAATTTTCCGTAATTGCTTATTTACGTAATTTCTAATAATTCTATACGGCCCGATACGGTTAATTATACATTTATACGGACATACCGTCGTAATAGGTTGTGACTTCAGACTTGTGCATACAATACATTAATACCCACACCCGCATTCAGACAAAACTTCACAACAATGATATTATTTTTATTGGCTCACATAAACTATTAATATTATCCGTTCAGTTCTTAATATTAAACATAAATAGATGATTATGGCTTTATTGATTTCCCGAAATTGTTTATTGTATAAGTATATTATATTTTATTATTATTGTATTGTATAGGTCCCATATTATATTATATACTACTGTAAAGAAATAATATAGCAAGCTATACCTATACCGTATATTTCTACACGGTGTTAACCGTTGTATGTATTGACGTAAAACTGTATATTATAATTTATAAATAAATATAGTAATTTTGATTTGTTGATAATTATTTATAAATAAATAATAATACCCATTCCACTAAAGCAGTAATACATTGATATCAATATTTTTCATAATATGAAAAGCGCCAGACGAGTAGACGACAGTGTGACAAACTGACAAGTGACAACGACAGAGTTGCTTAAAGTGCAGTGGCCAGTGGGCAGTGTTTAGTTTCGACAGTTTCGGTTTAATTTATAAATTATTATTTAACATTTTATAAAAATGGAACAATTTATCGTCCGAAGCACGACAAAAAAACAAACAGTTGTATGTGAAGACAATTTGGAATCAATGGAAGCAAAATCAAAATGTTACTTATTTGATGGCAAGTTTTTCAAAATCATAAATGTAAGCGATGATGGAAAAAATATATCCGCAGAGTGTCAATATTGCTTTAAGACTGTGAATGGGCAAAAATCATCGACTGGGAATTTTTTAAGTCACATTAAGGTAGATTACTATTTACTTACCTATCACTTATTTAAAATTAATCAATTGTCATCCCCAATACTCCGAAACTTAAAATTAGGTTCTCGGATTCAATAATTGTTTTTACATTCATTATAATATAATATGTATTTAAATATAGGTTATTATACCTATTTACTATAATACATTTACTGTTATAGTTTAAACATTCATATTTGATGGAACAAGTTAAAGCAGCTAAAACTGCTAAAGCTGTTAAGAAAAATGTACAATCCTTTAAAAAACAAGAAACCTTGCCATTCTTGCATTCTAATAAAATATCAAAACAAAAAGTAAGTATTTGTTTTAAATAATTTATACTTAACTGTTTGAATGTTTTATTTTACTTACCTAATAATAATTTTATTCCCTACCTCACTTTTTATTTATATATTATATATTTATATACCTAGCCATACTGGTTAGTGTTTTAAATAAGTACTATAGTTATCTACAAAATTGTTTTAATATCTGTGGATATTATTATATTAATACATTCTTGAATACAGTAATTTGAAATAGAAATTATAATTTATGTTTAAAAATGTAATTACCTATTTAATTAATGTTATTATGTTAATAATTCAGCAAATTTATAACCAAAATCTCATAACATTTTTAAATATTTCAAAAAATAATTTTTATTTATTTAAATGAAAAGGTATACATTTAAATATTTAATTAACAGTTTTCATATTTATTTAATACATGCATTTTGCAGTGTTTGAAATTGAAAGATTATTGAGACTATTTTCCAAGTTGGTAATACATTTACTTATTATAAGAAATATAGAAAATATAAAACACTATTAGATCAATATTTTACATTCCAATGAAATATTTTTTAATAAAACATGATTATCAATCGACAATCGTTAAACACTCAAACATAAATTATTTAAAATTATTATAAATAAGTAATCATGAATTAATTATTATGACTTAAGAGTAGATAGAATTATAGTAAGTTAATAACTAAAGTTTTTATAAAATTATTCTTTTAATCGACAGAAATATATAGAAAAATTTAATTTTTATATTGCCAACATTTTTTTTTAACATGTATTTTATTATTTGTAAATGTTAGTACCTTTATGTAAGTAATTATTAGTATGTGCATTTAATTTTTCAGATTATTGATTTAACTTTTGCATACATTGTGGAAGAAATGAGGCCCTTAGTGACATGCGAAAAACCGGCATTCAAACGTCTTGTAAAAGGTTTATGTGGCCTTGATGATGCAACTTCTTTACCTGATCGCAGAGTTATGTCTAAGGAATTAAATAATAAGTACATATCATACATAACTATTCTAACTGATTTGATTGCCAAACAAAATTTTATATGCACTACAGCTGATATTTGGTCTTGCAATAACAAAAGTTACTTAGGTATGACTTGTCACTTTATTGATGAGCATACCTATGTTAGATATTCATATATTCTTGGTTGCAGAAGAATTAAAGGTAGTCATACATATTTTAATATAACAGAAACTATGAATGAAATAACTCATACATATAATATTCAAAACTCTAAAATATCACATACAGTAACTGATAATGCTAGCAATTTTGGCAAAGCATTCCGAACATATTCTTTAAAATCTATTGGTCAGGAGTCTTTAAATATTAATAGTGATAACTGGTTTGGCGATGAAACTACATGTGATGATGATCATAATACTGGAGAAGAAATTGATTATTGTAGTGCAGATTTTGATACTATAGATTGGTCCACAATGGTTCAGAATTCTGAAGATATGGAAAGTGATGATATATGCTTACCAGATCATATTACATGTTCTGCACATACACTTAGCTTAATTGCAACTGTTGATGTAGACAAAATCTCTGATAAGTGTTATACAATTAATTCTAAAAGTGCTTTTAGTAAATTATGTAGTTTTTGGAATCTTTTAAGTCGAAGTACAGTTGCCTCAGACAGGGTATATGATATCTGTGGTTGCAAATTTCCTGTGCCCGTTGTTACACGGTGGAATTCATCATTTGACGCTGTAAAAAAAATAATTGCTCATAAAGAGACTGTAATATCCTCATTTAATGATTTAAAACTTCAACAACTAAAAAAAAAAGATTGGTCATTTTTAGAAGAGTACTGTTTGGTTATGGAGCCGCTTGCTACTTCACTTGATAAGATACAAGCAGAAAAATCTTGTTTTCTGGGATATGTTGCACCTACGATAATATCATTAAGACTTTTATTAATTCAGCAAACCAATTTAACATATTGCAGATGTTTAGCGTTATCAATTATTAATAGTCTAGAAAAAAGATTTAATTTTATATTCGATTTAGAAAATATTAAAAGCAAGCCATATATTATTGCTTCAATATCACATCCTAAGTTTAAGCTTTCATGGGTTCCTGCTAGATATTTAACTATATGTAAAAATATTTTTTTATCTGAATGTAACTCTATGAATTCAGTCATGAATTCAGATTCTATTGAATATTATTCTGCTGATAGTGATGAAGAATTTTATGGTATTTTAACACAGAGTAAATATTCACTAGGTCATTCTGCTGCTGAAAGTGTTCACTTAAATAATGATACTAGTAATGGTACAACTGTACAAGCACTATCGTATTTTGATTCGAAAAACAAAGACCTTAGTATGTTAAACACATTTCCATCTGTCAAAAGAGTTTTTTTTAAATATAATACCACTCTACCGTCTTCAGCGCCTGTGGAAAGACTTTTTAGTAGTGGATCACAAATCTTAACACCCAGAAGAAATAGGCTTCAGGATAAGACTTTTGAAATGCTACTTTGTTGTAGGTGCTTAATGAAAGAAAATTGTTAATATATAAAATATATCATAACTTTTTTTTTATGTTTAGGAAGTTTTTTACTTTTTATTAATATTTTAATATGATTTCTAATTTGTAAATGTATATACATAATGTTTTATTTGAAGTAATACTATATTGTTATCGCAGGCAACTACCTATACATGGTTATTATAATATTTTTTTTAATATGATCTTTATTTTATGAAGTTTTGTTTTTTTTTTTAATTACCTAATATTATTTGAAAATGTATATAATGTTTTATTTGAAATAGTAGGTACTATTTTATATTTATGGTACAGGTAGATACCTACATGGTTATTATTATATTTTTTTTAATATGATCTTCATTTTATGAAGTTTTGTTTTTTTTTTAATTACCTAATATTATTTGAAAATGTATATAATGTTTTATTTGAAATAGTAGGTACTATTTGATGTTTATGGTACAGGTAGATACCTACATGGTTATTATTATATTTTTTTAATATGATCTTCATTTTTATATTTATGAAATTTTGACTTGTTTTTATTATTATTTTAATATGATATATATTTAGGTACTATACGATATACATTATACTTATTAAATATGAACTATTGACTAATGTTTAATTAATTACATTTTTATGAAAAAATTATGTTTATTTTTTGATTGCTAAGTTATTCATTAATTACCACAATATGTTTACCTACAATATTAATTGTATTTTGCAAATCATAATGTATTATTTTATAAAGAAAAATATATAAACAATACATTATGATTTTCATTGTTTATAGATTTATAACTTATTAAATAAGAAGATCAGTATAATCCATATTATATGAATATAATATGAGTATATTATGAGTATAAGTATAATCTATAATCAGTAAACCAAACTTCAAAAATAATAATCAGAGTACCGTACCGTATAGTATAATTTTTAGACAAAAATAAAAATAAATTATGAATAATCTAAAACAATAAAGTGTAATCTTAAAAATGTAATGAGACATTAGGTATATTCTAAATATTAATTAATAATAAATTTTAGTTAAAATAACAAGTGTAGTTATTAAAAAATAAAATTGAAATTTTTATCTTTTTTTTTATCTAGATAAATTTTGTATATCTTTTATCTTAATCTAGATAATTAAGCAAAAAATTATCTTTTATCTGTATCTAGATAAATTATAACCAATTATCTTTTATCTTTATCTAGATAAATATTTTGTTATCTTTGCTCAACACTGCCTGTATATGTACTTAATCTTCCTACATGCTCAATTTCAGATACTGTTTTACCATGTATTTTAGCTTGAGCTTTAGTCCAAAAATGTTTAGGAAAATCATCAATTGGTTGTATATTTGAACCTTTAGGATATTCTTTTCCATCTCAAATATCTACCATGCATATAAAACTTTGCTTTTCTAATATCCAGAAAATCATCCTGGTTATTTATTTTAAAAACTGTATCTTTATTAGGTGTATTAAGTTGGGCGTTATTCGTAGGTACCTATAAAAGTTTTATATTGAGCATTTTCAATATATTCATCATACTTTTTAAAAATATTATACATTATTTATAATTTATTATCTCATTACAATAAAACCATATAAAATAAAAAATAAAATCAAATCTTTATTTCATTTACGTAAGTGACTTCAAATAACTGGTCCACCAGGTTTTGGTAAAACAGTAGTGTTGAGGAATATAGTTCTAAATCATTGGACTAATTATGAAAATTTATATATTTTTACAAAAAATATCGACCAACCAGTTTACAATGACCTAATAGAAATATTTGAAGGTATACCTGAGATTTATTTTTATATATCTGATACAGATATAATATCTGTAGATGAATGTGAACGTGATAGCTTAGTTGTTTTTGATGATATTCCTTTAGATGAACAAAATCCTATTTATGAATATATGAATAGATCAAGACCAAAAAATATTTCAGATATTTTTTGAAATCAATGTTATACCTAGTTCAGCAAATAAACAATATATAAGAACTTTTGTAATTTAATATCTGATGGGAATTTACTACTTAATTGATCAATTGAATAGTTTCCTTTTATCATAGTTTTAATTTTATTACTTTGACTCGTCATAACACCATTAACATTTTTAAAAAAACCTTGTGTATAAAAATTTATGGAATTCTTTAAATAATCATAGTACTTCGCGGTAACTTCACTGTCCCCCGATAGCTTTGCAGATATCTGTAAAAGAGTTCCGGCCTCCTTTTTAAGGGGTATCCTTAAACGGGTATCTGCAATGCTGGGAATGATTTTGTAGATTTTTTGCGTTTTTTTTCCATTGTTTCCCTCGTATAATTCCTATATTTCATTTAATATTTGATATTATCAAGTCAGAACAACACAGATATGTTTTATAGGCTTCACTACACATTAAAAGTTTACCACCCACTTCATATTTTTAATTTAAGTATAACTCCGTTGCTATTTATGTTAGAATCTTCATTTTTACATTAAACATTTTTGATTTTAATTCTTTATAAGTCCTCCTCATATTATCTTAGTGTAAAATCGTTTTTAATGATTTTTGGATTTTAATGACGCGTGCCCCATTCGGGTGCGCGTTAAATATAGATCATTTTATTAATAGAACGATTCTTTTAAAAAATTAAATTAATTTTTAAGCATCCCTTATCAAGGGTACATATTTTGATATCTCTTAAAGTTTGAATAACACGAATATCATGGAGATATTTGAATGAAAATTTACATGTTGTAAAAAGTTGATCATTAGCTATTTTACAAATTTCAAGTCATGTTGGTGATTCTAGTATTTTACAAGCATAAGGCATCCCTTATCCAGAAATATTGTGTCCATCGGCAATTAAAATATTTCCTTTGATTGGAACTTTATTTAGATTATATTTATTATTTTAGTATTATAATTTTCATAGTATTCATATTTACAAAACTAAACAAATATTTCATTGTTTAATATAGGGTTTTCTATTTCGTTTTGCATTTCAATTTCTTGTAACTTACTAAATTCTTTTATATTTTCCATTCTTTTAGTATTTATTGTATTTTTAATTTTTAAATTAATTTATTCAATTTCTACTTTAATACATTTTGCAATGAAATATGTTATTTTTAATAGAACAATTCTATTCAAAAATATTTTTAATTTTTTATGCGTTTCGATTTTTGAAAACTTTTTGGGGGATTTTGTATTTCATTTTTTGACAAATATTTTTATATTTATAATTATTGCGTTTCCATGAATATGCAAAAGGTTTTATGAAATATTGCATTTCAATTTCTATGAAAAGTATTTTAGTAATTATTGCATTTAAATGACATGTGTGCTGAAGTTCCCCCTATACTACTCATAAATTATAAGTATATACGGTTGATCATATTGTAAACGATATCCCATATTTTATTTTATAAGCCTGAACATAATTTAGGCAACGCTAAGTTTTTTATTTTATTTTCTACTCGAAATTGTTTTGTATTTTCTATGGTTCTGAAAATATTATGATACTTAAGTTTATCATTATAATTGTATTTTTTAATCAGATATAATAACCATTGATTGTCTGTTCTAAGGTGAGCTATTCCGTTAGTATTTTTATTTTTGTTAATTAACTGTTATATATTATTAAATTTGTTTTTAAATTTTAGAGCTATTCCCCGGGACTTTGTGAAACATTTGATGACACTGTGACACTGCGGCCTATTGCCCAGATATTGTCTTCAGGTTACTTCTAAATAGCCACACTTTCAAATAGCATTCATATTTTTGTTGAATAAAAAGTTTTGAAAGTGTGACTAGAATTCCGTGTTTTTTTTTTTAATTCATGTTTTCAATTTCTGTTTCTCTTAAACCTAGGTTTTTATTAACAGTAGTTTTATTTCATTTGTGGTCGTACCATTTTTTAATAAAATGTTTATGATTATTTTTCTCTATTTCTTTTATTTCATTATAAGTTATATCATTTAGTTGAGGGTTTCTCAACCGGGGTCCCTAGGGGTCCACGAGGAATTATTAGGGGGTCCGTGAAAAATTGGCCTAATGGCGAAAAAAGTGTTGTAATTTTTTATGTGCCTACCTTTACCTATTACTAAGTTTACATTTGGGGGTCCGTAAAAAAGTGGTGTAGTTTAAGGGGTACGTGAATGAGATAATGTTGAGAAACCCTGAATTGGTTCATGAGTGTTGTACCGATTTAGCTGCTCCGATTTTTTACTTAACTCGGACCATATTCTTGAGTCTCTACTACTTTCCATAGACCTGTCATAATTGTTCTCTTTTCCTCTTGAGTACGATCTATTCTATATTGTAATTACTGTCAATGGTATTTTCCCTATAACTTATATTATTTGACCAGGATGGGTAATAAGCACTGTTATTATGGTAGTTGTGGTCCTCGTTGTATTAGTATTTTTTCCTATTATAACTCCATCCACTATTTTCATTATAATCCCAATTATTAGTATTGTGTTTATTATAATTTTCATCAAAATATATCAATTTATTTTGTCTTTTTGCTAATGTTTTTTGTAAGTTGTCACTTAATTTGTTTATATTTATTTTACTCTCTCGATCTCTAGAGAAGCTGTCCTTTATTTGCTTTCTCAATTCATTGTCCTCTTTTTCTATATTTCTTGTTTTTAGATTTAACTGTATTACTTGTTCATTTAGAATTTCTGTATATTCACTTATATCATATTTTTTATTTTTTATCTTAAACTGTATGAGTTCAATTTTTTTTTTAAATTTTCTTTTCAGTTGTTTAAGCTATTATTCTCTTGCATCGACATTGATTGAAAGTGTTACCCTTTAAGCCTTTTAAAATATATCCACAAATAGCTTTTTCACTCATGTGCTTATTTACCTGCCTACATAATCTTTCCATCTCAATTAAGAAGCTAGTGGTAGATTCATTATCATTTTGTCTACGTTTTTCTAGCTTACTTGTTTATACCGTGTCGTGATCTATGGATTGAAATTCATTTAAAAATGTGTCCTATAATTCTTTCCATGATAAATTTTTTTTTTTGGTCTTCAAGGTTTGTAAAAAGTTACTGCCCTCCTTTTACAAAAAATGGAGGAATTTTAATTTGTCGTTTTCATTCCAATCATTAATGTCACTAACTTTATTATATTATTTAAAAAATTTCACAACGTCCTCAGTCCCAGTGCAATTATCAGGATAAATCATTAGAGTCTTCAATGGTGCGCATTAACGAGTTAATAAGTAAGATTTTAAGTTAAAACTTGAGTTAATTTTAACTCATCTTACTAGTTCGGTGTTTTAATTAACTTAACTCATTTGCTTCAACATTAACTTAAGATCAACTCATTTTTTTCCAATTAAGTTAATTTTGAATAAATATTATTATATTATTATATAGACAAATAATTTGTTTATGGACTATGGATTTTAGTTTTATAATAATTATTAGAAGTTAGCAGAATATAGAAAATATTATCAGAAAAAAAAGGTACATTTACAAAGAACTTCGTATTTATGTTTAATGATAAAAACTAATGTATTGTATTAATAAGTATGTTATAAATATTAATATAGGGGTAACATTAATCGTCCGTAAGACATCGATGCCACAAATTATATTCATAAATCATAATACCTATTCATTAATCATTACTCATTAGTTATTAATTATTTTTTATTAGTACAATAATGATTATCATAGATTATTTGAGTACCTAGTATACCTAGTTCATATCCATAGATTCATATAGTTTGATAATAAAAATTAAAATTTCGACTATGATATCGAAAATTATAATTTATGTTACCGTTATCTTGAGATGAATTTATTGTTAGCATTAATGACCTCATTACCGTCACAATTTGTGGCTCTATTTATAGTGATTTAATTATTTTGATTGTTATTCGTCGGCTTGGGAGTATACTCATAATAACTGATTTCATTAATTAACTCATCCACTGTCTGTAGTTGAAGGTTACGAATTGTGTTGGAAGTCGATCGGGGATAGTGCGATAGTAGTCTTTCAATCTTCTCCGTCTCTGGAATATTAGGGTGTAAATACCTATCTTTGTTGATTTAATCAATATTGTGCTCTTGTAGACTCGATGTATCTTGATGATAATGTGGGCGATAGAATACATTAAATACTTTTTCTTGTTTAATCGAACACCAAAAATGTCGTCGAAAACGTTCAACAAAATGATTAAATAAGTCTATTTGATCTAGGGTGTAAGACCATTTTTTAGCCCTACCACTAAGTCTTCTGCATGTGACGTTAATTTTTGTTGGATCGGTGAACACTTGGATTTGAAAATAATTGTTAAGTTTTTCAAGAAATTCTTCGGGGTGCATCGGATCAATATTACCGTCTAATTCCGGGACGATATCTTTTATTTTTTCTGTGTGATTATAGGGCTGAGGTATCCTGGAGAACTCTTGTGATGTCATCGTATCTGATGTACCAAAACGATAAGAACTGTTACTGTTGTTGTTCATTGTGCTAGTGGTTGTTATAGATATAGAGGTATTGTGAACTACCTTTGACGAATATACATTGTTAAGTTCAGGTCGTGAAAATGTATAATATGGGCGTTGAACCAAATGTTGATATATAATATAGAATACTCGAAGTATTCCTGTGTGTATGAATTGTTTTGATTACATTTTCCATCACAGGAAGACGTGGCACCTGCCCCTCTATTAAGGTCTATCAGCCTGGCTCCCCGAAATTGAAATTTCGTACTTTTTTTAGGCAATTAGTAACCAATTTGTAATAATTTCTAACGCGAGATTTAGAATTTGTATCACAAAAGTTCACCCTTAAATTGACGGTCCAGTGTTAGGGTTACTGAGCTGATGTCAGACCAACGGGCTTTTTTTTTTAATTAAATAATAAAAACGTGATAAAATATTATTATTCGAACTCATAGTTAACTCATTACACATATTCATATTCACAAACCCAATGAAAAATAAAAATTAAAATAATGAGCTTTTGTAAATAAAATATAATAAATACCCAGTAGGTTATTATAATGATGATAGTTTAGTATTATATAATTTATACTACAAATAATAAAATAAAATACTTACCTTGCAATAAATAGTATATTATTACATTTATTTAATTATTATACATTGGTTACTAATAACCTAAAAAAAAAGTACGAAATTTATAATAATTTCTAACGCAAGATTTGGAATTTGTTACACAAAATGTCACCCTTGAATTGATGGTCCAATGTTAGGTGTGAAATTTCCTACTTTTTCACTACATATTTATTGCTTGGTATTGTTTTCCGAAAAGTGGAATTTCCCCCAAAACCAAATATTATATTAAAAAAAATATGCTTTTGGAATCAACTGGTTAATAGAATCAAAATAGCCTGAACCAATGTGATCATATTAAGCGGTACTACTCACTGTATTTTGAATCATATATTTATATATTTCTCCATTAAACATACTGATCGTATTTCATTTGATTTACTATAGATGTCTTTGTATGTCTACTAATAATAAATGGACTTTCTAAAATGTAAACTAAAAATTGTTATCATTTTGTATTATAGTTACCTGATTTTGTTTGTTTAATTTTGTCATTATTATTATTTTATGTAATCATTATTTCCTAAAATTTTGTTTGCCATAGTATTACAAACATAATTTTAAAAGCCATGCACTGAACTAATTTAATATATTGTTTTACACATGATTACATTTAACATAAATATGTTTAAATAACAAAAAATCTATTTATTTACATAATTATCAAACTAACAATTAAAATATTAATTTTTGAAATTATTTTTAGAGGTAAATGCGAATGTAAAGAAGAAATAAACTCAACTAATACCAAAATAAAAATCGAAAAAAATGATTTGGTCAACGGTTTTGTTTTTGATGGATCAATTAATAACACATTCCACTCTTTGGAACTAATTACTCAAATTAATTCAGACAATACATCAAATTTAAGGAGCAACTCAAAAGCACTTTTCACAAAAAATCCAAAGATTCATACCAGTAAAAGAGAAAAGGGGCTTGTTTGTGACAATTGTAAAAATGTATATTCTAGTAAATCAGATTTGATTACTCACATATTGTGTTGTACAGGAGTTGACCTTTATAAATCTGATATTTCTAATAAAAGATATACTCAAGCAGCAGATTTAAAAAAGCATAAAATACCACATACTGGTATAAAGTCATATAAATGTGATATCTGCGATAAAAATTTTTCCAGACCATCACATTTAACAATGCATTCCAGAACACATACTGCAGAGAAACCATTTAAATGTGATATCTGTGATAGATGGTTTTCTAAAAAATCAAATTTAACAACGCATTCCAGAACACATACTGGAGAGAAACCATTTAAATGTGATATATGTGATAAAGGGTTTTCTACACAATCAAATTTAACATCGCATTCTAGAACACATACTGGAGAGAAACCATTTAAATGTGATAACTGTGATAAATGCTTTTCTGATTCAGGAACTTTGAAAAAGCATAAAAATACACATTATGGAGTTAAGCCATTTAAATGTGATATATGTGATAAAGGGTTTTCCAGACCATTACATTTAACAATGCATTCCAGAACACATACTGCAGAGAAACCATTTAAATGTGATATCTGTGATAGATGGTTTTCTAAAAAATCAAATTTAACAACGCATTCCAGAACACATACTGGAGAGAAACCATTTAAATGTGATATATGTGATAAAGGGTTTTCTACACAATCAAATTTAACATCGCATTCTAGAACACATACTGGAGAGAAACCATTTAAATGTGATAACTGTGATAAATGCTTTTCTAATTCAGGAACTTTGAAAAAGCATAAAAATACACATTATGGAGTTAAGCCATTTAAATGTGATATATGTGATAAAGGGTTTTCCAGACCATCACATTTAACAATGCATTCCAGAACACATACTGCAGAGAAACCATTTAAATGTGATATCTGTGATAGATGGTTTTCTAAAAAATCAAATTTAACAACGCATTCCAGAACACATACTGGAGAGAAACCATTTAAATGTGATATATGTGATAAAGGGTTTTCTACACAATCAAATTTAACATCGCATTCTAGAACACATACTGGAGAGAAACCATTTAAATGTGATAACTGTGATAAATGCTTTTCTGATTCAGGAACTATGAAAAAGCATAAAAATACACATTATTTAGTTAAGCCATTTAAATGTGATATATGTGATAAAGGGTTTTCTACAAAATCAAATTTAACATCGCATTATAGAACACATACTGGAGAGAAACCATTTAAATGTGATAACTGTGATAAATGGTTTTCTGAACCAGGAACTTTGAAAAAGCATAAAAATACACATTATGGAGTTAAGCCATTTAAATGTGATATATGTGATAAAGGGTTTTCTACACAATCAAATTTAACAACGCATTCCAGAACACATACTGGAGAGAAACCATTTAAATGTGATATATGTGGTAAAGGGTTTCCTCGAACAGGAACTTTAAAAAGGCATAGAAAAACACATACCAGAATAATGCCATACAAATGTGATATATGTGGTGAAGGGTTTCCTCGAGCAGGAACTTTAAAAAGGCATAGAAAAACACATACCAAAATAAAGCCATACAAATGTGATATATGTGATAAAGGGTTTACTCGAGCAGAAACTTTAAAAAGGCATAGAAGTACACATACCGGAATAAGGCCATACAAATGAGACATATTTGTCAAAGTTTCTTTAAGATTATCAAATTTAAAAACCATGCAATTTTATATTTCACATAATTTCTTATAACCATAACCTAATCATTTTTATGTATTTAAAAATATAATTATAATCACCTCTAATTTTATACTGTACATTTTATATATTATTTTGTGTTTATCTGCTAATTTATAATTATATTGAATTTCTCTTTTCACTACCTAGTAATGATTATAGTTTATACAATTATCTATTTAAGTAAATAACAATTTTTTTGTAGTTATGTTTAAAGTTATATTATTTAAGTTAAAATCTTTGTATAATAATTGTATAATTAAGATTAAAGTACCTACTTATAATGTTCAATAAAGTATATCTAGCTAATAAGAATTTTATTTAAAAAATGATCACTCTTATTCTTAATAAAAATACTTGAGAATAGTCAGGTTACCTAACGGCTGAGATGTACAGTTGGTGTTGATTGTATCTCAACAATATGGGGTTAAGTTGATGAATGAGAAGAATGAGACCTTAAGTTTCTGTACTGTTTGTGTTCATTGTGAATCCAATAGACTATTGCATAAATAAATTAAAATTTATATTAATAGTTGTAGAAAAGTCATATTTCTATTGAAAATTATTTTTATATTAAAAAAAAAATACGAATAAAAACAATAAAACTGTACGATGTAAACATTTATTGAAAATTAAATCATCTTAGGTAATTATTCGTCTTTAAATTACAAAAAAAAATTGCTTTTGTTGAATACTAATTTTGCTTAAAAATTGTTTTTGTATCTTTTTTCCTGTCTACATACACGATAAGTAGTAGGATGAACCATTGGATTTTCAACTTCAGTAGGTATCTTTTTCAGTGACTCTACTTCATGCATTCAAAAATTTAAAATTCACGGTTGTTTTCAAAAGGAACAGGAAAAACAAAAGAAAGAAAAAGGTGGACAAGTAGGTGTGGCTCTTTTATACTGTAGATTACAAGTAAGTCACTGTAATGGATGGTCTTAAATTTAAATTCAATGGTATGGCATGGACCCAGTAATACGACGTTTGAATTCAGACGTAACTTTCCCGCCGCACCAGTTATGACCAACAACCAGTCCATGGTAGGCTATTCCAGAACGGCAGGCGCACGCCGGGCTGAAGCGTCAACCCCAACGCAAAGGCCGGCATTTTGTCTTTTGCAAGACTCACCACTCGAACATCGTTCCGCCTGTCCGTTGCCCCGCTAACTGTACACATATGTACTAATCCCATCAGTTCTTTGTTTTTTCAATTCGGTATTAGCGATAATTGTTTAGTTGTAATTAATAGCATTGATTGTTTCAATATAAAATACACAATCGTGTTACTATAATACCAAGTCGTATTACATTTTATTTCACTTGTCACGTATAGTGCCAACTGTGCTTGATCCTGTGACACGAAAGACGGATGCAACTCGAAACCGTATCAAATAGAATATCATTGTATAAGAAAAACTATTCTAAGCCAGACGGCCAGTCAACCTATAATGTTACCAAGTTTATTTAATGATATAATTGCGAATTAAGTAATTTACATATAACCTATTTACGTGGAACCTTGTTTTAAATTGTCAAGCCTTATCTATGAAAGTTGAACATTTTATACGTTTTTAACTACCAAATAATTATTAAATTTTAAATTTGATAAATTTTGTCAAAATTCGAACTTTAAACGCTTATTAAAAAAAAAATGCCTATATATTATTAATATTTTATACCGCTATTGTAGCAATAT